CAAATACCTGTGGCATCTCCACCACTTACAAATGTTAGAATGCATGTCAAATTACATTTACCTCCTTACGGAATGTCTGGCAAACATGGGATACCTAAACTTATCTACTACAGCTATATGTAGGTAATTCTCGGCAGATATTTCTATCTCTGAGGTTCTTGACATGAGGTGCACCCGGAACTGTTTTAAAAGGTTTTTAACACATAGGAAAAGCATAATTCTCATAAGTGTGAATAACATGTACTCACTATAACCACCTACAAAGTAAAGAGATTTGTATAGAGAATTATAAATACCAGTTTGTTGCCTCCAATCGCTTGTCTGTTGTGGAAAGAAAACTTCAAGGACTCGGTGTTGGCAGTAAACAGTAAGGCTTTCAAACCATATATAATATCGTAAGTCTACGTTTCTTGGCTGTGAGTCAGTCCTTCGAGTGACCTTACGCGATGAAGAGCACATCATAAGGTCGTCTAAGATGATCTATAAACCCCAACAAGCAACTTAATGGTATCTGATCCACGGAGTAGGTGTTTGTCTAACAATGAAAAAAATTTAATCTCATACCCCTACAGTCTTCCAAGTCGTATCAGGCAGTAAAGGGAGAAATTTCACAATGAAATGACTGTTATCGATGTTAAGAGCACGAAGTCCGAATTCGCTCAAAATAAGTGTATAGTGAACTATCTGAAATCCTTTCCAACTCCGTTTGCTGCGCTTAGCGTGCTACAGAAAAACGAAGTGTTGAGAGGACATTACAGATGGAATATTCGGACATCTGAAAGGAAAAGAAGACTACAGTAGCTGCCAACAGAAACTGTCTGCTGAATATTTCTACAAGGTTACTTGATGGTTTTAGAGCATTCCAATATGTACTTCCTCCATGCTAGTTTGACACATGCACCCTGTATTTATTTATTTCTGCAAAGTACTTAAACTTCACTTTGCCAAAAGTGTTTTCTGAATCGTGAAAATCGACTTTAAACTGAATTTTCTAAGCGTTTAACCATATCCCTTAATTAGAAACAATGTGTAGACTTCTGAAAGCTATTTGCATCTTTAGGTAGGTTTATCATAACCGTCATACATTTGTCTTTTCCGCTATATAATCAGTTTCAGTTTCAGTTTGGAAAGGACAGGAGGCTTGATGGCTTATGTTAGTCCTGGCAATGGTGGTCTCTCAGTTGATCCAACTTTCTTTTGAAAGAGTCGACGGATGGAGCCTCAACCACGTGCTGAGGTAGTGAATTCCACTCGTTGATGATTCGATGGGAAAGTCGATAGTCAGCTGACAAGTAATTTGTTCTCGGCTTATGAACTTTTTTGGAGTGTCCTCGTAAATTCTCTGTTTTGGAAGACAAGAAAAATGAGGGCATGTTAGGTGCAAATTTATCACTAAGCAATTTGTAGACTGTAATCAAGTCGCCTCTAGTTCTGCGATATGACAACGGGAAAAGGTTCAGCTTGGCCAGTCGAGATTCATACGGAAGCTTCGCTATTGCGGGAACCAGCTTAGTCGCCATTCTCTGAACCTTTTCCAGGAGCTCTCTGTCTTTTTTAAAGCAGGGGCTAGCCGCTTGTATGCAGTACTCAAGTTTAGGACGAACGAACACTGTATACAAAGTCAAAAACGTCTTAGTGTCGACATGACTAAAAGCCCTACGTATTGACCATAAGGTTCTAAACGCTTTGGCGGCTATTGCACGGCAGTGTGCAGTAGTCTTTAAGTCTTGACTAACGATAACTCCTAAGTCATTATATGTCTGGACGACAGGTAGCTCAGTGTTATTCATCGTGTATGTATCTGTGCCTTGATGACCGATATGCACCACAACACACTTGGAAGTATTTATCGGCAACTGCCATGTTTGAGACCATTCAGATAACTTCTTCAGGTCATTTTGAAGTTCTAAGCTATCACTCTTACATCGTATTGTTCTCCATATCTTGACATCGTCAGCATATAGCAAGACCGATGATGATAGGAGACAAGGAAGGTCATTTACATACAAGAGGAATAGCACTGGCCCCAAAACTGTACCCTGGAGCACTCCACTTAGCACAGTCTCCCAACTAGATAACTTTGAGTTCACCCTTACTCTTTGTTGACGCCCAACTAGGAAGTCTTTTATCCAGATCAATAAATTGCCTCCAATCCCGACTTTTCTTAACTTATATAACAGCCGGTTGTGCAGAACTTTGTCAAAAGCTTTACTGAAATCAATGAAGGCGACATCTACAGGTAGCTTTTGGTCCTTAAGAGCACACCAGCTTTCACGAGCCACTAATAAGTTAGTGAGACAAGAATAACCTATTCTGAAGCCATGCTGCTTCTCCGAGAGGATCCGGTTTTTATCGAGATACTTAAACAGCTCCTTCCGAATAATCTTTTCTAATATTTTAACAACCACACTAGTTAGGCTAACGGGGCGGTAGTTCTCAGGTTTGTGTTTCGTGCCTGTTTTGAAGACAGGACTTACTATGGCGCTTTTCCAGTCTTTTGGTAAACGACCCTGCGTAACGGATAGGTTAGATCATGTACTTGAAGGGCTTGCAACGAAGTTAGATAATTCCTTCAGTAGCCTAGGATGTAATTCATCGGGCCCCGTGGATTTACCTGTGTCAAGCTTATTTAGCAGATCAAAGACATCGAGTTCTTTAATGGTCACGCTATACAGTGTATGTATGGGGGGATCTGTATACGCTGACGAGAAGGGCGCTTCTATGGTATACACGTTGCTAAAGTAGTTCGAGAACGCTTGAGCCTTACCAAAGTCGTCCTCCATTAATGATGAAGCAGTACTGTCTCCCCATAGAGCAGGAATATTTCCTTTTCTCCTTGTCCTTTGGTTTATATAGGAATACAAGTGTTTAGGACATTCTATGGATTCCTTAACAAGTTTTCCTTCGTACAATTTTCTAGACTTACGGAGGGTCGAGGCACAAGTATTCCGAGCCTTTCCATACAGAGATTTTGACTCATCAGTCCCCAGTAACCTAAATCTATCCCACATTTTTCTTTTCTTACGGAGAAGGATATGGACCTCCCTACCGAACCATGGTGGGGAGTTTTTCGGCCCCTTTGGTATAGTCTTGAAAATATAAAGATCTCACTGGACTCATTGAATATGTAGAATCCTTATATTATTAATATTTATAATAAACTATCCACTTGTAAACTATTTTCTGATTAGTTTACAACCTCATGAAATTCGTCGCGGTTATTATAACATTCGCCTCTAGGTTAGGCTATCGGCTACGTATCCACCTGTCTTCGGACGTTTACAGAAGACTTCTTCAAACATCATCAGTGGATTTACTCCCAAAGCAGTTCTGTCTGTCCATTTGGTTGGTGAGTGGTATATATTGAAGTGTACTTTTCATTTCCAACTGAATTCTGACTGAATATTAATGGTTTTAGTGCGGGCTTTTGGTACTCATCAATATATTACACAATATATTTGACACCTCATCAAACAAAAAGTAAACCTCTCAACAGCTCAGTTTTTGCTACTTTACTACTGTCAAACAGGCCATTACAAGTAAAAATTGTATACACATTATAGGTATGTAACCAATTACCTCTTCAAAACACCACTCATGCCTTGCGAAACCGAGTAACTAGTAATCCTGTTAGTTGGTTAGTTTAAAGCAAGGAGGGCAAACTAACCGTTGCTAGCGTAGTTTATAATAAATCATCCTCATATATATATAATGCCGGTTGAAGAAGAATTGGGTTATGGGAAACTCGAGGGTGACTAGACCAAGGTTTAACACTTGTTCACAAAGTCATTGATCGTGTTGTTCAAGGAGATGAAGTTAGAGAACGTAGACTGAATAATAGGTTATGAGAGTATGTATATTTATTTCCATTGTTTTCAAAATCTCAAAAACTATGGCTTTGTTGGTCTGTCCCTTCTGTATTTATACCATTAATTACTTCAATATATGATAAATAAAGTCTCATTTTTGTGCCGTTTCAAAGTGCAGAATTTTTAGCCGACGCACCTTTGTGTTGCCCATAGTTCAGGTTTAAGACGTCCCATCAAGTGAGGTTCCTAACATCTAACTTTCTGATTGAACCACTTCGTCAGCATCTATTATGAAATATCAATAGTGCATTCAGTTTCCGAGGTAAACTTCAGGAAGTTTCCCATCTTTCCTCTTATAATCCAGTAATTTCCAACCTAAGGATCATGCCCTAATACTTGATTGCACGTCAAAGTCCCTACTGTTATACGCATTTAGTTGTATGTACTTCATTATTCCCCATCAATAAACCAAGAGGTCCGCTATTTGCCTTATCAAGAGCACATGTCAGAAGTTCCAAACAAAATCCGAACAACCGTAAATGAGAACGATGGTAGTAAGACTATTTCATTTCCTCACATCGAATTAACGTTAATATCTGTTTTAAGAGGTGAATGGTGGCTAGCAGTAAAATCTAGGACGCGCGTTTCGTCCTATTTGGGACTAATTAGTTGGATATACCTGCATTCTAGAGTCGATGTTCACTCCCGAACTTGGACCCAGTAATTTTATTTCCTAACATCGCGTTGTCCACTTGGCTACTGAGTCCAGATAGCCATTGCACAAGCACATCCTGAGTTCCACAGATAGTCACCATCCGTTTTTGCTTAAAATGATTATGACTTACTAAAAATATCGAGGTAATCTACACATAATACATACATACCAAAGAAAACTGATCCATTGTGATCCTAAACATCAGTGAGAAGACCCAAACAACCAGTATGTATGAATTAGGGAGTAAACACTTATGTTTTTATCCGTGTAGAAAATGATTTTAAGTCAATATCAGTTGCTTATCAAACTTAACATACTTGATTATATCTGGTGTTTCCACTGCATATATAATAGATGATAAGTAGTAATCCGTAATCATTCCATACATTTGTTTTGTTAATTTGTGTATTCTTTTCTTTAGCTTAAAACCGTACTATTATTATTTTGTCGCAGAGTTTTATAATCTGGTTCCCAATATGGTTCAAAAATGCAGTGGTTTAAACCGGTTGGTGCATACATTGGTAAGATGTCTTGAATTACACATAAACATCCTTAGTCTAAGTTACGATTGAATGATGTGAAATTATTTTTAATTGGATTAGGGTTCGTATTTTTATTAAATTGGATTGTTACTTTATCGTGGATACCGAAATTTAAATGTTTGTCAGATGGTAGCGTGCTTCAGAGCACAAAACAATATTCCATATTTTCTTTAAGTATGTTTCCCTAATTTTTCTTATAACTTATCTACCATAGCTGATGTTAGTTATGCTCAAAATCTTGCTAATAAGATTAATATATATTGTTATATCCTAACGGAACCACAGTCACATCTAACCAAAGCTTATCATGTTCAAACAACTTGGGCCCGAAGGTGTACCCGTTTTGGTTTTATTAGTTCAAAAGCGGAAAAATTAATGAAAATGCTTGGTAAGTCACAAAAGCGATCTTTTTTGATCGTTGTCTAGAAAATTTTATTAATCCATTTGTATGAAGGAAAGAAAATGTGTAATGTTCATAGGTATAAGAAGTTTATATTCCAAGTACTTGAATTCATGTGTAATAGCATTTCATTTTATACGGTGATCTACGTCAAACAGGAAATTTATATTAAAATGTAATCCGTCATTCAGAAGCGTAGAATTCACCTCCATGCATAGTCTGCTTATAAGTTATTCCAGTGACTAGAAAACCTAAGCAACTGGTTTTCTTATGATACCACTCCTCGAACCTTTGATATATAGGTCTAATCCACAAGACAGTGGAGGAGTTTTAGGAGTTACAGTTTCGTAGTGGCCAATGACCAAAATAGGTTCAACCACCCTTGGTCATACTAGGGCATTTAGAGGCATTACTCTTTAAGACGAGTATACGTACCTAGTTGTCATAACTTTGATCTGTGGTTTTATTAGTCACAAAAAACATTGTTCAGTATAATTGTTTCACACTATTGTTAGATTATTTTGTTTTCGAGAAGACGGCTGTTTGCGAAATTGAGAGGGCAAAAGGCGGATGTCCGGCACCTTAACCGGGTTGGTGGACACGGAGGGTCTACCTAGAGGAGTTGGAAAACCCTGGTTCCAAACCAATGGTGCACATGAACTCCAGGATCGTGAGAGAACAAAAGGCGTGTGGACCTATTGTTGATCACCAGCTGTCATGGGACCGGATTTCTTAACGTTGTTCCATTGCCTTGTGGATTAAACCTTCAGGTCAAAGGCTCCGGGTGTTGACCCCCTAAGACAACCGCATGCTTCGGTCTAGGCACCCGGGCAGTATCACAGCCCTCACACAAATAATGGTAGCTGCTACTGGCTTCATTGTTACTGTGTGATACATATGTATTTGGTGCTCCCTTGTACCAATGTTTATGTGTTTAAATAAACTAAAGTATCAAGCTCCCTATTTATTTACTTGTAGCTGTTGATAGGACTCAAAATTATGTTAAACATTCTTGGATTTCAATGCGTGAAACACTTCGTGCATTACATAAACAAACTTACAAAGCAGCATATTTTCTTAAAGCTGATGATACGACTTATGTGATCATGGAAAACTTAAGGAATGCTTTAGAATACACAGATCCTCGTAAACCATTTATTATGGGTCACATCTATAAGGTTAGTCACTTATAAACTATTATTGTTACCTACTTTTCAGTATTTAAAGGGATTTTTATTGATCGTACTGTTGTTGTAAATTGTGTTCATGCAATTCTTAAAAAGTTGTTACTTGAGATACTTCACAATGGTGATAGCTATGAATCTCAAGCAGAAATACCTCGACACCTACTTGGGTGTCTGAAAGGGTCCACGGTTACTGATAAGGACTTATGATTGCAATAAAGTAGTCTCACTGGGCCCTTGCTGGTTGAGCACTATGCAAAGCATGCAAAATAATACTGCAAAATCAGTCATTGATGTCCATGAGGCTTATTGTAGACCTGGAGTTGTGTCAAAACTCCCCCCCCCCTGATTGAACTTTAGTTGTTCTTGGAGTGGGAAGCGACAACTCAGGACGTCTTACGTGTTGTGAGACTTCGTGTATTGTACTGAGCCATCTGCAACGCAAACTTCTCCCAGGTTGTATCGTAAAATTAAATTTAGATGAATGATATAAATTTCTAAGGAAGCGATACCGATAACTCGAAATCTGATCTGGCTAATTGAGCGATGAATCCATTAGGAAAGGCTAGTTGCTCTACTACAATAGATATTTTAATGATGATGATGATGATTTCACAAGAAGTAGCGACCCGTTCTTAAGCAGTTACATGTGAATCACCATACATTAATGGTTTGAGCAAGGGTATATATAGTGTTGATGAATTAATCAAAGGATTTTTCGTCTGGTATGCTTCATGATTAAGTGAGGTTATGGAATGTAATATGCACTTAAACAGATCTAATACAGTGGTCGGGTTAAGTCAACACTTTCAGCACCGACAACCTCTAGAACGAACCGGATGCGGCAGTCGTTATATATATATATATATATATATATATATATATATATATATCAGCCTGATGCATTACAGTTATTGCACTTACACATTTTCTGCAGAACTTTTCTCCGAGGGATAAACAGTATTTTTGATACAGTTTAGTTCCATGACCCAATAGTACAGCTCTACTTTGAGAAAAAAGTGATTTTCTTGTGTATTGTTAGATTAAAATTCATTCACCATAGATCAATGTCCTAATGGTTTGAACATTAATCTTTCATCCATTTAGTTATGCGTTCTAATCCCACTTCATCCGCTACAGCTTAATTGTCTGCGTAGTATCGTTAGCCTTCACGAAAGTGGTATAGCTTAAAGCCGAATAAACAAACTTGTATTTGACTACTTGCATTATTAATTGTTAGTCCATTAGTTTAAATAATTAGTTTGAAGACTTTGGTTTTGTAAGAGAATTCCCATCCTGGTTTTTTGTAGATAGAAACAACTATGGATACCTATCAATAATAAAACTACACATGTTTGTTCATACTCCTCCCAAACTACCAATCAGACTAAATAGCGCTTAAGTATCACCTATGGATGCAACCCCGACACATTCCATTGTAGGTAATGTTTTGTCACACTTTAGCCTTTAAATAACTTTCTCGACCTAAGAGAAAGTTTAAAAAAAACTAGAATTCACCATTTTACTTTGCTTTACTAAAGATCTCTAAGAACTATTTTTGCTATCAATCTAGGTCTCATGAGGAATTCAACAAAATTGAGTCGAGATTCCTCATGATAAATGTGAATAACCGACACTCATTACCTTTTGATAATGTAGTTCCAGATTTCCCCAACCTTATCTGCATTCCTTTACTTGTACATATATAAAGCTTGTTGTAATTAATTGTTCAGAATTCGTCAGTTTCTTATTGTATACAAACGTAACCTATCATCTAAGTAAAGTACATTATACTTTTTCTACTTGTTGAAATATGTGTTGTTTGAAATTTATTCAGGATAATCATCATAATAATAATACTTTATAATGATCGTCGCCACACTTAAAAATGTCACCTTTATAATGTTCTAATTTTGTATTTAGATGTTTGTGACGATTTCTTTATTGTTACAAATCTAAACAGTACTTTGTCTCATAATTAACTGTTAGTTCTAGTGTTTAAATGAGCTAAGTTCATCTTGTTAGTTGCTTGATTAAAGTCAATACATATACAGATATACTGTTTGTTTTTCGGTTCAGGTCTAAATTAAAGTGAAACACTTATTCTCTCTCTCTCTCTCTCTCTCTCTCTCTTATATATATATATATATATATATATATATATATATATATATATATATATATATATAGTTTTTTACAATCGATTTCATTTATGTTCATTGTAATTATCCATATTGTACCATCTTTGATATTCAGTACTGAATCCGATAAGTCTGTTTGCTGTATGGACTACTTAAACTGAAACTTCGTTTCTGTCTGCATTTACAAGTAAATTATATTTTGAATAGTGGCTAGCAGTGGCACCCATATCGCGCATTCCGTTCTATCTAGGACTCGTTAGTCGAGTAAATACGCACCCTGGTGTTAGCGCTCACACTGAAACTTAGACCAAAACCCAACACTTTCTCATTCATTCTACTAAGAAATTATAGCTACAGACTAATTCAACGAATATAATATTTGTTGGTATTTGTAATGATCTTTGTTTTCCTGTCATTGGTATTCAGGGCTAGACTTAATCATTCTGTGCTGACATATGACTTCCTTGACCAAATGTCTTATAATTTCCTAGAGTTTTACTGTTTATCATACTTTTGGATACTGACTGGCAGTGGAATCCGGGACATCATATTTTAAACCATAGACAATTTCGTGGTATCTTCCTATGAAGTCTGTATGCCAATAGAGATCGATCCAGTTCAATCTGGAATAACACCAATCGGAAAATACAAACCTATAGCAAATAGTAATACTAGAAATTATTGTCTCCATTTTCATCCTTGTAGTTATTGGCGAATTAGTCATTTGGCAGTAATTTCTATTAAATACTACTTTTATTATGTAGCAGACCATTATAACACTTGCTAAATTAGACAGCTATATCATCTAAGTGTGGGACCCCGTAATCCCTCGCAAATCTCGGTTATAAGCACTGGGCTTCTTCAGGCTTTGCATTGCTGAGGTTCAACAGTGTCTTCGGGTTCGGTGATGATAATTTAGTTAATTCCACCGTCTGGAAGCGCCAATTCCTAGGGCCTGGTTTTGTTTTATAAGTGCCATCTTAGCAACTTCTACATCTTACATTATTTATGAACACTAGAACTGAATGGTAAAAGCGGAGAGACGATCAGTTTATGACATGTAACTACTATGAAAGATGGCTGTATGAGACTATCATTTGTTAGTCCATCACGGTTATCATTAGCCTTCACATTTCGAATGTGAATCATTCCCAAGTACCTGACGGATCAGTTATTTGAATTTTAAATACTGTTAATGATAATACGTGATACTATATAAAAGTATGTTTCAATGAAAGTTAACTCATTTAAATTATGATTACTAGTATTTCTGAATACTGAATTGTGCGTGTTCAGAGCGTTCTTAAGGTTCTCTAATTTTTCTCTTTCCAACTTTTAGTTGACTATTTCACTTTAAAATTTTATAACTATGTTAAACTAACATTCGTTCAAGTTTTACAGTTTGATAGTAAACTCCGAAATTTTCGTTAATCTGTTAATTTCATGCTCATTTTTTGTTACGCTGTATAAGTGTAACCTTTCTTTCTTAACTTGAGTGTTTTCTTCGTCAATATTTAGTTTGGCAATAATAATACTAACAGTTCAGTTTGTAATGGTTTTCACTGTCCCGTTAATATTTTATTAAAACCATAAACCGATCATTGTTAGACCACAGTTGAAATCCTAGAACCATTAGACGGTATTTTTCTCCTAGTGTGGGACTCAGAAGTGCACGTCGATGATCTCACATGCGGAGATCGGACCCAGGACCTTAACCTGTGGACTACTGACCCAGGATTCAATGGTATGTGTACATCCTATGCAAATCACCTCAATATATCGAAAATGAGATGACCTAAACCACCAAAAATCAGATTAAAACCTATACCCGTTGCACGAGGGGCTATTTGGTTTTAATAGCTAAATTGATAGCTCTTCGGGCGTTTGAAGCGAAAGTCCGGAGTTTACATCAACTCTGGAGCACAGGTACATCCGTCTGACAGGTAGCAAATAGGATTAAACGCGCGTCCTTGATTCCATTGCTAGCCACAACTCATCTCTTCGATGATAATAATAATGCTAATTTTCTAAAAAAGCTTTTTTAATACTCCATTTATCTAATTATTTAAGATCCGTCCAAATGAATTCACTTTATCTGGTAGTTTTGGCTACGTCCTATCAAGATCTGCTCTCGAATTAATTGTTCTGAAAGGTTTAGACAAATTGGCTGACTGTGGACCAATTCAGCATGTTCGTGAAGATATTCAAATATGTAAGTAGGTTTTTTTAGTTATTTGGTTAAAATTAAATGCAATCCACTGGACTATCTAAGCTGGAAGGAATAGCAAACTCATACTCTCCGGTTACATAGAATCTAATTAACTAGATGCTGGAAACCATAGGTAACTACTGAGCTCTAGCATAATGCTAATCACAAAGTTTGTACATTTTGATTTATATCTTTAAATGATTTAAGGATGCTAAGTGAATTCATACAAAAGTAGCAAACACCATGAAATGAATAACCATCGATAGGCAACAAAATTCTCCCTGTGACACTGAACCATCGGAATATCGCCGTAACGACTCTTTACATGTGACCTTAAAGAATCATCATTCAACAAAAATATAACACTATATACATTAGAATAAAATAGATGAGCGATTTCCTCTGATTGCTCCTGTAACAGAATAAACCCAGCAGTAAGATTTTTTACCCAGATTGCCGGCATGTACAATGGTACTGTCTCCTCATAACATAAGGGGGAAGGGTTAAGAAGTGTCAACCTTGAAAATACCTCGCCTCATCACATCCTACGGAATCCCGTCTCCAGAGGTGAGACTTTGAAAGTACGGAGCTAACAAATCGAAATCTGCTCGCAATAATACCGTGTTTAATTGGTCTCAAGCAGTAGTCTCTTGGGCTGTTCACTCACACTCCCAAGTGGCTAAGACTCCACTTCTAGTCCAATTTTCTTACCAGGTCCCTCAAAAACAAAGATTCTTTCACAGCGTGCGCAACTTGGAATCGACAGTCGCCCTCATATATCTAACATCACTCGAGACCACCTTGCTCACGGTAGCTGTTCCCCAACACAAGTCGCTCAAACCTAAGTGCTTGACGCTAGTCCGAACTTTAAAGATGACAAATCTCACGAATATCCCTTCTAACATTATTGGAAGACTTAAGTACTGAACAAGCTTTCTGATCTAAGTCTCTGCTTTGAGTAATTTTATCCAATCTGAGTAATGAAACAAAAGGTGAGAAATGCTTTGGTTGTAGTAGATAATTGCTTGAATTCGATATGTTCGGCCATATCTCCCAAATACTCTGCAGAAATAATCGGGTTTCAGTCTCCTAAGAAGGCGGGACCATCGAACCAATCTTTGAGATCAATATCCTTCCGCGCACTTAGTCAAACTTAATCTGTTGAATTTGTTCGAGCTTTATGTAATATTCATGAGTACTGATAAATCACAGCTATTTGATTTACTAAAAAAATTACTATGCTTGCGTACTGTGACTCCACCTAGCCAACGCATAAATCCAACTCACTCTTGACACATAGAGGTGCCTAAAGTTCTAAGCCATTGATCGCGACTGGGCTTTCCAAAGGCTATTTGGCTAGAATATATATATATATATATATATATATATATATATATATATATATATAGTCCTCATTTTATCTCTTGTTTTTTTTAAACAAAATTTTAGCTAAATGTGCAAAAGCATTAGGCATAGAATTCAAAGATAGTATTGATATGTTTGGAATGTCACGATTCAGTAATGTTACTATAAACAATCTTTTTGGAACATTCAATAACAGTAATAATAATAGCGGAACAATTCAGTGGGATCCAATAAAAACAGATTATACACAAGCAGTGTATGATTTAAAGAAAGTAAGCATTAAAAAATTTGCATAAAATAGCCTCTTTTCTTTATCTGTGTATCTACACTTAAATCAAATATCGGTGTGGGGGTCATAAGATTGTTGAAGTTTATTGATTTAAGTTAGACAACCAACCTTGTCGGGTGAGAAGAAGGTACCCACCGAAAACAATGAAAGATGGTCGCGTAATATCGCGGATTGATTAAAATTAGACATATACATCATTAAATCCCGTCTCAATGGTCTAGAGGTTAAGCGTTCGCGCGTGAGATAAAGGTTCTGGGTTCTATGGCGAGTGGTGGGGTCATGGACGTACCCCTTTGAAGAGTTTCATACTGGGACAAAACGGCCGTCTCGGTGCTTCTAGGTTTTCAATGGTTGTCTAGCTAAGGTTGATTAGTAATTTCTACTATGATTGCAGTTTATTTATGAAGAAAAAGTATATCACCTTAATTCTAAGTCACTCGGTTATTAAAATTGAGAAACTCCATCTGTGATGTTTTATTTAAGATAATAATCACGAGTTTCCATACAGTTGATAATATTCATTAGAATCGGAGTATAACAACTTTTTATTGTAAAGGCACTCAGTGAGTTTCTGATTCCTACTGTCCTCTCTATCTATTTAGATTAAAATACCCGGTGATGAGATCACCAGCACTCAAACCCGTGTATATTAACCCGTACTTTGTGGTTGAGTTATATATATATATATATATATATATATATATATATATATATATATATATATATATATATATATATATAAGTAACTAAACATCTCTATGCCAGTTCATCTTCATTTTAACATAATCTCTATTTTTGAATACTCACTTATGTGCTGTCAGAACCTTAACTTCATCTAAGTTTGAGTAAATACATCATTTTACCATGTTTTCACACATTGATTCTCTATTTAAAAGATATGACCTCAAATGCTTTAATCCACTTCTTTTTATTTCTTTCCCACTCATCATTACCATCCATTTAACTGAATTAAGTTACCTGCAAGTCCACTGCTAATCAGTTTCGGTGGTTTAATGCCAGTGAAAATGTACATTTTAGAATATTTAATCTATCATCTTCGACCAGTTGGAATAACGCATCGAATTTTACAACATCTACCTTATTCATCATCATCTGCAATGAATCGTTATCATCAACAAGACCATAGTACATAATAATGTATATTATTATTGTCGCAGTGATTTTTATTATTTGCATAATATGTATATGATACTTTCTTGTCTAAGTCATTTTAACTATTTGTTTGTTTAATCTTTTATTTTTTGTCATTGTGATCAACATATAAACATTTACATATCACAATTTTTTAGCAGATTCTATCTAGTTATTTGTATTCCATATTATATATATATATATATATATATATATATATATATATATATATATATATATATATATATATATATATATATATATATATGTAAACTTATTTCCGATCATAAGTTCAATTGCCTTAGATTCTGTTGTATTTTTTATCAATTAAAACACTGATCAACAAAACAATGTAGAATGTGTAATGAATGATGCTTAGAATGTCAGTTTATAATTGAGATTTTACAATTTATTATTATTAATAATAACTTTTTCGTAAATCTTATGGTTATTTCAACTTCCTTTTATTCATTTATGCTCATTTGGTTTGTTTTTTTAATTGACCATTTATTATTATTTATTTATTCATTATTTATTAATAATAAAGATGTTTTACCAACTTCTCGTGTCTATATATAACTGTTATGATTGTGGGGTAGAAGGTTGCCAATAAAAAAGACTTTAGAAATTACTCTCTGAAGATATACTATATACTTTGTGAATTTGTATTTTATTCAACATATTTGACTTGTGATCTTTATGTTGTCAACATTGTAAACTTCTATCTAACTCGATACAATCTAACTCGTTACAATATATTTTATTGAAATGATGAACCGAGCAATGGTAGATAATCACTGAACGGCCGTTTCGTTCTAATATGGGACTCCTCAGTAGTGCTGGGACAGACACTCCCACGTGAGAATCGTCAAGATGGTCGCACAATATCGTGGATTGAATAAAGTTAAACATTAACATTGTTGGATGCCGACTCAGTAATCTAGAGGTTAAGTGTTCTCATGCGAGACCGAAGGTCCTGGGTTAAATTTCCGCATTCGACGTCGTGAATTCGCATTTCTGACGAGTCATATACTAGGAAGAAACGATCATCTAGTCCTTCCGGGTTTTCAATCATGGTTTAACAATGATCGGCTCATGATTTGAGTAGTTGGACAAGTACAGTAAATTAATCGTAAACCTTGATGGAAGCTGTCAGGAAAAAATAAAAATGTAACTAAATTTAGTTATATTATTTAGGTAATGGAGTTTAGTTCACTGATGTCGTAAGTTGTACACATGCATTAAATTGCTGATTAGCTGTTGTCAAGTACTTCCCAGTTCAATGTATTCAGATTTCGTCTCATGTGGTGACCTCCACAGTTGACTCATATTGCCATTAACCATCGCTGGAGGAGCTCGTTTGTAGACTTGCTTATTCTTGAGCACATGCTTAGACTCGGATTATACTCTAGTTTTAGCACGTATTTGGATGTAATACAGCCACAACTTAATGACGAAAAAGTCAAGAATATGTTTCAGAAATAACTAGAGAACAAGTTAGTAAACTGTAGAGGTGATATTTCCCGAAATAGTTTGATATAATATGCAAAAAGCTGTGAACTATCCGAGTTTTCAAAGCGGTATAAGGATCTAAACAGATATTTGAGTGTCCCTATATTATTCGTAGTTGAAATTAGAGATTTAAAGTAAGGATTATGATTTTAGAGTTAGGGATTTGATCTCGAACTAAAATCAGTTATAAGGCCAAAACGTCCTGAATCAACACAGGTGGATGAATTTTTCCAAAAAATCCAATAGGTACATTCAAATTAAATTGTCCAAGAAATTTAGTACCACCTGGGTAAGATTTGTTTGGGAGTTAAGGGTTCATAGTTAGGATTTATAGATAATATCGATTTTCCGCTATATACGCTATAGAGAAAGAATTTAGCACTTGGTGTATTCAATTATAATATACCAGTTGAAGCACTAAAGTCAGGCATAGAAGTAACTGCAAAGATGTTCTACATACTATTTAGAAGAGTTTGGCAGGAAAAACAGGTACTGATAGACTGGAAAGAAGGATAACATCAACATACCAAAGAAAGATCACAGTAAGTGTGAGAACCACAGAGGCTTAACGTACACAAGGAAACAGCAGGATCCTCAAACAACGCGGAGATAAACAAACCCAATCACACATGATGGAGAAGTACATAAAGAGGTAGAAACTTCGCGCACCTGCACAGCATCGCCGACGAACTTTGAGGATCTGACGCATGTGTGGACTCAGGGATTGCCAAAGCAAGGTCGGTATTCCTACAGTTGAAGAACATTTGAATCTCAAAACAGCTGTCAGCCAACAGCAAATTCTCAATCTTCAATACGAACATCAAGACAGAACTATCACAAATATAATAAAATAGTACATATATTTACAAAAAATTGTCTACGCAAGATACTTAATGTCCGTCGGCGGGAAACTATCAGCAACAGACCATTGTGGAAGAGAAAAAATAACAGATTTCATCTGAAGGAATTAGGAAAAGACGTTGAAAGTGGATAGGACATACACTACAGAAATCACCAAACTGTATCACAAAGGAAGCCATAACTCGGAGTCCTGAAGGTAAAAGGGGAAGGCCAAAAAACACATTACATCGAGAAATAGAAGCAAATATGCAAAGGATGAATAACAACTGGAAAGGATTGCCCAGGACAGTGTTGAATGGAGAATGCTGGTGGGTGGCCTATGCTCCTCCACGAGCGTAACGGGCGTATGTGTGTGTTTAATCGTTCAATATAATTATAAGCAAGGCTAGATAGTGTCCAGAAGTGGAATCCAGGACACATCGTTATCAAAGAAGGTTTTCCGTCTGACCTACTACATAAAGAGATTGCATGCTCTTGGAATTACTCGTCACTTTCTCTTACAATTTGTCAATTCTTGCATATTACCTATTATTCTTTACTGTTCTCCATTATTCTTTCCCGGGCTTTTGAGAAAAGACTTTGCTGTATTGCGAAGAGTGCTAAAGGCAGTTAGTAAGACGTGTGGTGAATCTTTCGAGGTCATAATTAATATGGTTGTGGATAGACATTTAAAATCATGCAAACTCCTGGCAGGTATGATTTTATCAGATACTAGCCATCCCCTTCACTCTTATCTTTCTCCTTGTATATCTTCTGGTAGAACGAGAAGTAATTACATTAAAATCCTTGCACGCAAGGAAAAGTATAAAAGTTCTATAATACCTTACCTAGCAAATATACTCTGTGACGAACAGGTTGTTAGAATTAACCTAGTCAATAACTTACATTCTTAACATGTCTTTAATTTTAAAAGTTTGTAGTTTCTTTTGGGTTTTCTTTTTTATTTTATTTTTATTTTATATATTTCTTTATGTATTCGCTACTGCCTTTTGTTCGTTGTTCAGTAAGTAACTTGTTGAAATACCCTGTGCTGAGAATTCTATATTGTACCAAAATATAATATTGAATAAAGCCATTAATAATAATAATAATAATAATAATGTTTCATCTTATTTGAGACTCGTCAGCTGGATGAATCTGCATCTGAGTTCATATGCACTCCGTGTCTCGAATTAGTACCGTTATCCAATAATATAATTGTTTTAAATTCCTAATTACGAATATTGCATTCAAATCGGCAAAAAATTTCCTGTATTTCAATACAATTAAGAAAGACATTTCACTATTTTCTGTTTTTCCTAATAATTTTCAGGGCTTATCTTCTTTTCAAACGTAAAGGTTGTGGGGTTGGACTTCTGAAGGATTGCATACTACTATATATGACAGATATCTAGTGCCTTTTGGTTTTCAGTGATTGCATAACTAAGATCAATTCGCGATTTAAACTACAAGAATTTCTTTCTTTTAAGAGATGTATAACTACTCTACAATAGAGAAATACAATTTTTAAAATTAATTTTACCTAATATATATCAACATTCAGTATATAACAATCATTACAATATAACAACTGAAAAGGCACAAGAATTTGAAGACAAAATATTAAGAAAATGCAAAACAGTATTTCTTAATAAAATTTATCTTTTCATAAAGTTAACTACAAAAGCATAGTGATCAAAACTCTGAGTCACATATTGTCCAACAGTGTAAATTTTACAACAAATTTGACTGTTTTACTATTGTTTAAACCAAATAATTATGGGAATAAACTGTATCATATACCGACATGCCTAACAACAAATGAGAGTTATTTACTTCGTAAATCATGTGCCTAATACATATATCAAGATAAAAACAAATTGTCCGAACTAGTCGAAAACATTAACCGACGAAGATCAATTCTAACTAATTACAGTTCAAAAGATTTTAAGGGATATTCTTTAATATTTATAACTTAAACACATAAAGGATAGGAATTTTTTGTAATGTTGCATATTTTGAGCTGACAATTATATACTATAGCTACATATATTATACTGAACAAAGTGAATACTGTTTCTATTATCCGGTTATTATACTGAAAAGGAACTTCTAGAATGGTCAATAATTCTCTCATTCAACATTGCTCATGGATAACTCACATAATCGATCATTTCGGTGGATTCTAGTCTCTCAATTGAATGGGTAATTGATTAAAAGCAACCTGTAATTAATTTGTTATCAACATAGTGCTTTTCTTTATGTAATTTTTTCTTCTGCAATAGTTGCTCATATTTTGCGAGCCTGTTTTATACTACTAATTATAAAGTAGTAGTCTGCGCTATCTTGATTATTTAATAAAAGTATTCATAGCTGATAGCCAGACTTGTTGCTACACTTAAACCCAAAGCTGGCTTCTTCACCATCACACTAATCAACCTACCAATATACTTTTATCCACTCCATTAGTCAGTTTACTTGATGCAAAGAATTCTCTACATAAAGTGAGATAAAGCTATTGTAAATAAAATATTAAAGTAATTTATTTACCATGCACAGATTCGAGTATTCATTTTTGAGCCACATTTTACGTGTGCGTATTTGTGGTGTTATCCGGCTGCAAAAAAAGAGATGAAGGCTGTCTCAAACC